CCTGAGCCTGTGGATGGCCCCTGGGGTGATTGGCTCTGTGGGGGGAACATTGGAGCCCCTGCCCCATAGTCCTGATAAGTGGGACCCCTGCCCCCGGGCTCCCAGAATTCAAGAACGGGAGTCCCCTGCTTGGGGCTTGGAGATGTGGGGAGAGAAGGTGGAGGAGGGAGGGCAGGGCGACGTGCAGGACGTGGGGCTTTGTAAGGGAGGGACGGCCACCTCTAAGAAGTGCACATCTGCAGACGATCAGGGCAAGAGACAAACAGTGACCCGGGGACCCAGTGAGCAGGAACAGGGCAGGAAGTGTCTACACCCTGCTTGCCCACTCCACCCCGGCCCCCAGACTCCCCACTCCAGGTCCCCTACAAAAGAGGCAAGATGCACCATCACCCTGGACGGCCCCCCGGGAGTTGAGGACCAGACCCCTGACCGTCTCTCCTCCACAACAGGTGCAGAGGGGCCCTCCTCATCACAGAGGCCACTTCTGAAGCTGGGGCCCCCCAGGGTAGCAGCAGCGGCCAGGAGGTCCACTCAGAGCATCCACTACCTGAAGCCTGTGGCTCTGCGCCTGCCACCTGGGATCCCAGAGTCCCCAAGCCACCAGCGGCACCACACACTCCCCACCGAGTTTCGCTGCCTCATCCCAGAGGATGCTCCCGGCGTGTCTGAAATTGAGTGAGAGGGTGGGTAACCCCCCGACAGGGTCCAGGACGCTGCTGAGCTCTGCCGCTGTTGCCCTTGTGGAGAAGACCCTCGAGTCTCCTGCCCTTGGCAGTTGGGACCCCAGAGTATCTGACTCTCGGTGTTTCCGTGCGTAAGAGCACATGCATGTTCAGCAAAGTGGGGGGAAGAGCAGCGCTGAATCCTCTGCTTTCCTGTGGGGGAGGGCTGGGGGCTGAGGGAGCCCACCCCTAGCATCCGAGCAGATGCTCAGTGGACAGTGGGCATGTGGCACGGTGACCACGGAGTCACCACCAGGGCCGGCTCCACAGCATTCATCTCTGTCTCGGGCATCTGCCCCCTGAACCTGGACCAGGTCCGGCACTTTCTGGCCCTGTGTCCTGAGCTGTCCCTGGACTGGTTCGTGGAGGGCTGCCTTGTGGCCTTCATCGTCGGCTCCCTGTGGGCTGAGGAGAGACTCACTCTGGTGAGAAAGGGGCTGGGGGGCAGAGATGCCCAGCCCCAGGAAGGCCTCCGGGGGAGAGGCCATTGCCCGATGGCGCCAGCTCCTCCTGTGCTCACAGAGGCAGCCAGGTGGGGGGAGGAGCCTGGAGGCTGGGATTTCTTCCTCCGAGCTAAGAGATGAGCACAGACGTGGGTCCTCTCCAGGGCAAGACCAGTCCTTTGCGGTCTCAAGGCCCTCATGAAGGGACCGCCATAGGGCTGGGAATGTAGGTCCCAATTTGGGGTCTCCTTGGGTAGGAGGGGGGGTCCTGATTAGAGGCACTCAGGGGCACCTGCCCTTGGCCCAGGTGGGGGTGGTTTTGGGGTGCAGGTGTCCACAGAGGTGACCTGGACTCATGTCCGTCTCTCGCCCCCAGGAGTCGCTGACGCTGCACAGGCCCGGGGGCCGCACGGCCCACCTGCACGTGCTGGCCGTGCACCGCCCCTTCTGGCAGCAGGGCAAGGGCTCCATCCTGCTCTGACGCCACCTGCACCACCTGGGTGGCCATTCGGGCGTGCACCCGGCCGTGCTCACGTGCGAGGACAGGCTGGTGCCCTTCTACCAGAGGTTTGGCTTCCACCCTGTGGGCCCGTGTGCCGTGGGCTCACTCGCCTTCGGGAGACGCAGTGCTCCCTGCGGGGCCATGCCTCCCCGCACAGGCACACCGACTGCTGAACTGGCCGCCCTCGGGGAGCCCACAGCCAGGTGCCAGGGGTGTGGGGAGGCAGGCTGGGGGCTCCTACCCAGTCACGCTGTCCCCTTCTCTGCCCTGCAGTCGCTCAGCTCAGCTCAGCCTGAAGGGAGACAGTGATTCCCAGAGGGTCCTGGGGTGGGGGGTGGGGGTGAGGGCGGGGTGGGGGAGAGGGCGGGGCGGCTGCTCCTGGCCCAGGATGCCCCGCTGGGGCACGAGTGCTGTATCCTCCAGTCTGTCCAGGCGAGGCCCTCTGGACCCCCTGCATCCAAACTGTGCCCACACGTGGCTGGGTGGGTGAATTGGGGACAGTGGGAGGCGGCCTGCAGCCCTGCTTCAGCGTCCTCACCAAAGGAGCCGGGTGCCCAGGGGGCCCTTATTCCCCCAGGCCCAGGGCTGCCCCTTCCCATCCTCATCCGGGAGCAGGGA